GGCGGGGACAGAAACAGACTGTGAGGACTGTGGACGCATGACGTGTGTGACATGACAATGTCAAGCTGATGGCCAACCCTCAAACATCCTCCCCTTTCCTCCCCCTGCTTCCTTTTCGGTCGTGTGCAGCGCTCAAGCAACTCACCAGCAGCAAGCAGAGCGAGATGAGGTGGTGGTCGCTCTGGCCCTGCAGGGTGGTGTCGTGTTGTTGCCGTGTCGTCGATGTGGTGATGGGTTCCATTAGCACCCCGAGCATACAGCGCAGGCTGGCACGATATTCAAACCAAACAGCAACGGTCGTGCAAAGTGTGTATGCACCAGTCACGCGACACAGCACACCACAGCACAACATAGCACAACATCACATACACAAGCGCACCATGAAGGAGAGGACGATGTTGAGGATGACGAGGGAGGCGGCGATGATGAGCGACTGCCCGGCCTCCACCCCGTTGATGCCCGCCATGATGTTGATTGCATTCGTGCAGAACACGGCAAGCATGCTCATGTACACGTAGAACAGATACCCTAATGAGGAAGCGGGAAAGGCACAAGAGGTGTATGCATGGCGCGTGTGGGGTGAGGACACGTGTGCGATCACTGAATGCGTCCAAGAGCTGCAACCAATCTCGAACCGAAGCGCGTGGACACCCGTGATGCACACTTCATACATGTCACGACATTATGTGCACCACGACATTGTGTGCACCATCACACTACACACACATACACACACCCACGCACGCACGCACGCACGCGCACACACGCACACACGCACACGCACACACGCACACACGCACACACGCACACACATACACACACGCACACGCACCCAAGTTGATGGTTTCCCCGCCCACCCATTCACGCATGAATGGCGGCACCAGCACCCACGTGGACCCGACATTGACGTAATACACCATGAGCAGCGGCAGCGACGCAACCGTCGGCAGCCACAGCTTGTGCCTACGGAGCAAGCAAAGAAGGACGTGAATCGTGGTGTGCAGTTGCACCGGTTCAACTCCATGCGACAAGGAACCAGTCACTGCATGCCACTCACAACACACTGCACACTGCACACTGCACACTGAATGTCGAAACCTCTGTCATACAATACATACACACACATGCACACATGCACACACACATGCGCACACACATACGCACACGCATACACACACGCACACGCATACACACACATGCGCACAAACATGCGCACACACCTCCATGCCAAGTTGAGGACGTCGTCGGCAAACCCAAGGAAGATCATGCAGCAGATGCTCAGCAAGGCACACACAAATTCCACAAACTGCACGACCATCAGACCACACCACCGCATCCACAACACATGAGCAAACAAAGACAGCGCTAGAGCCAACCCAAGACGCAAGGTCACTCGCGTGCCCGGAAGCAGTTTCACACAAGTGCGCACACGTACACACAAGCGCGCACACGCACACGCACACGCACACACACACACACACATACACACACACACACACACACGCACACGCACACGCACACACACATTCTCACGCAAGCGCACCTTCTCGTGTGGAAAGTCGTCGCGCTTGTCCGAGTTGAGAAGGAAGGAATCAAAGTGAAAGGGGATGTACAAGAAGAGCGTTACCAGGTACACCAGCCCGCACACAACACCAACGGCCTCCGGTCTGTCAACAGCAAGTCACAGCCAAGGCGCGGGTAAGATCTCTTTCGTGTGCATGACTCGTCGTCCACTGCCCCAAACATACACATGCAGACAAATGTGCAGCTCCACGGCATGTACACACTTGCTCACTTCACACAAGGTTGCAGACACATCCACACACGCACACATACACACACACACGCATACGCACGCATCCACACACATCAGCACACATCCACACACGTTTACACACGTTCACACACACACACACACGTTCACACACACGTGTTCACGAACACACACACGCGCGCGCTCACATTTTCTTGGTGGAGCCTGGTTTGTTGAGATCGACGCCTGCGATGCCCGCCCGCTCCAAGAGCGGGGCCATGGCAGGAATAAGGCGCACCGTGCCAAGCCATGCCCCCGCAGCAAAGACGGGCAGCAGTGCCAGCCCAACAACAGACGTCGTGCTGCTGCCGCTGCCGCCACCACCGCCACCACCACTCACATCCGCCAGCATCGTCCTTTTGCCAAGTCAGACAACAAGGTTTTTGTTTCAGATTCGATGCGCTTTTAAAACCAACAAGCCCGAACAGAATAAGGACTGAAGGAAGGACGTGACTCGCACAATTGCAAGGCCGCATCGATCCACGCTCTCACGCTGTCACGTGTCTGCTCTGCATGTACGGAGCAGTGAGTGACGATGTGCGCGACGCAAGGTGGCCAGGTCAGATCGCACAGTCTTGACATCACATCACCGCTGTTCTGCCCTGGTGCCTGTGTTTGAGATGCGTTCCGGCGCTCATCCTTTCAATGTGATTTCGGACAACGCACAAGAAGACTGACGATGACTGG